TTATTTTTCTTTCCTTTATATTTTCTTTTGTCATACTATTGATTAATACTATAACTTTTATATTCTGTGATTTACTTATTTTTATTTACTCTTTACAAAGAAATGTGCCAAATTACTCCAATCATATTTAAGAATTGTGTATATATTGTAATTTTTATCAATTTTGTTTATTTTAGTTGACATGGTATGTTAAGTTTTATGATTGTAATCAAACTTTACTTTTATCCAATATACAATCCTTTTATGTATACATTTTTGATTTATAAGTGATTTTTTTTCATCATTTGTTACAACTTTTGTTTTGCACACGGTTTAAATATTCTGTGATTTATTTCTTTTTTTTACTCTTTACAAAGAAATGTGCCAAATTAATCCAATCATTTTTAAGAATTGTATATATATATATATTGTGATTTTTATTGATTTTATTTATTTTAGTTGATATGGTATGTGAACAAGATCATTAGTGAATAAATGTTTAACGATATATTATGTATTTTGAATTCTTGGACATGTTAAATACCTTCTGCATTATTAATAGGATATTTCCTTAACAAGAAAACAAAAATCAATTCCCACAAAGTTGTTAAAGGCAGAAACATAAGTGATGCAAATAGACTGATTCAAGATATTATTGATTATGCTGATAATGAAGATTTAGAAGGAGCAATTATATTTCTAGATCAACAAAAAGCGTTCGATAGAATTGAATGGGGTTGGGTAGAAGCAACATTAAAAAGATTTAACTTTGGTAAAAAATATTGCGATTGGATAAAAATGCTTCTTATTAAATCAAAAACATGCATTAAAACTAATGGATTTGTATCTAAATACTTTCCAATCTCAAGATCGGCAAGACAAGGGTGCCCTATTGCTCCATTGCTATATGTTCTTCAAATAGAGCCTATGGCCTGTGCTATTAGACAAAATCCGCAGATAAAGGGTATTTTAATTCCTAATAAAGATAAAAAAAAATAGAATGTAAAATAAATATGTTCGCAGACGATACACAACTTTTTAATAAGGACGAAGAATCTATAATACATTCCTTCAATGTGTTAGAAATATATGAAAAAGCCTCTGGGGCAAAAATCAATTTCTCGAAAACAAAGGGCCTGTTGACATTGTCTGGTCTTTTATTTGGGATAATAAATTAAATAAAATTGACAGAAACGTGTGCTGCTTAAGCAAGAACGAAGGAGGAATGAACATGATAGATTTATTCAATTTTATAAAAAGTAGACAAATAAAAACAATTTATAAAATCATGCATTCAAAGAAACATGGAATGCTATTGGTAAATACTGGTTACAGAGTAAAGATATGCATTCAAGTCAAGAATATTTCTTATGCACTTGTTCAGATTTATCTCCAATTTTCTTAAATAACATGTCTAGTTTTTATAAGAAAGCACTCATCGCATACAGCGAATTTCAGTCAAAATTTGTGCCAGAGAATCGAGAGGAAATACTTAACCTCTCACTCTTTGGTAATAAACTTATACAATTCCAAGGGAAAAGCCTATATGTGGAATCATTTATCAAAAGTGGTTTATTAAAAATTAAAGACATTTGGAATGATGCGGAAAATTGTTTTAAATATAACGACACCATTTTTAATAAATTAGTAGACAAAAGATGTTGGATATTTGAATATAGTAAAATAAAATCAGCCATTCCTAAACTGTTTTATCCAATACTGAAAAGAAACAGCTCAGTATCAAATAGCGAAACAAAACTCCCTTATAAATTGAATAATAATTTACTTATAAAAAGAGATACTAATAAAGTGGAAACCTTTGAAGATATCAAGTTAAAGAACATAGAAAAAATATTAAACAAGACAATAATTCCAAAATGTCAAGAAAAATGGGAAAATATTTACCAAAATAACATACAATGGAAATTAGTTTGGGACAGTATTTCAAAAATGAAAGTTAAAAATAAAATTCAAGAATTCCAATGGAAATGCGTGCATAATATATTGTATACTGAAGATAAATTATGTAAAATCGGACTATCCAATGGTTTATGCAACCTATGTAAAAATCATAAAGAAAATCAACAACACCTCTTTTTCCATTGCACAAAAGTTAAAACAACACTTAAATTACTAGAAGATATAATTGAAAATGTGCTGCAACTAAATGGAACTTTACAAATTAACCAACAAACAATAACATTAGGCTACTTGAAGGAACCGCAAACCCAAAAAAACGTTGTTAACATTTTAATATGTATTTATAAATGGGTCATATGGAAAACAAGAAATAAAATTAAATATGAGAATTTAAAAATAACTGACTTCAGCATTAAAAACGCATTCAAAAATGAAATGAAATCGAATTTTTCACTTTTACAATCACATGATTTGACAAATTTCAAAGAGAAAATTAATCATGTATTTCAAAATTCCTTGTGATTCTAATGCTAGTATATGCTCCCGTGATAAACAATATATACATGTACATGTATTCAAATTTTAAATCCACTATAAGACACAATATGTTTTTGCTATGTTATTTTTCATGGTTCTGGAAACTTTATGTTTAAAATATGATTAAAATTATGTATGTGAGGAAAAAAATTTCCTGTCTTTGTAAAAATTCATTCATTCTGATGTGTTTTTTTTTATATAATCTAATTTTATTATCACAAAACTCTCCATATTGATCCTGTTTTTAAGATGTAAAACATAAAAAAGACCAGTATTTTAGGGTGACCTGGCCCTAAATACTAGTTACAGTGAGATTGGTATAGACTTTCTTCTTCTTTTTTTTACACAATCTCCACTGCAACAAGGGTCATGCTTCTATTGATGTTAAACGAATACTTTGATTATATATATATAAGTGGTAAAAATTTTCTTTGAGATACTTATGTATATGTATGAAAATGAAGTCAATAATTATATATTAGCATAATGTGAAAAATTCTGTGTTCAAATATATTGGAAATATATTAAATAATATTATATTGATCCAGGGAGCTCCTGGCACCCTTGGTGAAGTATTACCAGAGGGCTTCTGCACCCCTGGTGAAGTATTACCAGAGGGCTTCTGCGGAAGTTTTGCCTCACTGTTATGTTGTACATTATTGAATAAATGATTTGAAAAAAAAAAAAAATTCCCACAAAGTCATGAGGGTCATAGACCTTTTGGTAGAGAGAATTTTAAAGAGGTCTTTGTTTAAAATTTTTGACCGGGTATTGACTTTCAGATAAAAAAAAAATTAAGGCTTATAAAGGTATTGAGATATCTTGGACAACAACCGGTGCGGTTCTTAACATGATGCTTTCTGTCCTTAAAAGTCAGAAAAACATTTTAATTTTATTTTTCCAAAATTTCTAAAATTTAAGCATTGGAATCTTTCTGTCCTTGATGGTCATTGACTGATAAGACATTGTCATTATTGAAAATATATAAGTAAACATTTTAAATTTTTTTTTTCCAAATTTTTTTCTTATAAGCATCAGAATCAAGAGGTCATTGACTTTTAATTTCATTGTTGAAATTATATAAAAGTAAACATTTTCAATTTGTTTTTCTTTTTACAATTTCCAACATTCTTCCCATAAGCATCTGAATCCTCCGTTTTACATTAATACATAGCTAAAATAAGATGGATTATTACAGAGATTCTACAGATGAGATGGTTATTTGTCTGTATGACAAGACGCATGTTATTAGGAAAGAAAGACTGTCTCGGCACTTAATTAAATGTGCTAAAGGTAATAAAACTGTGAGCAGGAACTTTTCATCTTGTGAATTTAACCATTGTCATAAAATTAAAAGGGGTAATGGCAATGAGCATTACAAACAGTGTAATGACAAACTGCGGTTTGATGGTTGGTTGGAGAGGGATAAAATGTGCACAAAAAAGGTGACATATCTCTCCCTAAATATGAGGATGTGCAGATTAATGATGGAGAAAATTGGGAAGAAGAATTGGAACCTCTCCCTGGACAAAAGTACTGCGGTTTTATTCCGGACATAAAGAAACAAAATTAAAATGTTAGGTCTTTTTGATTTATGTTCCTACTACTTGTGTATATAGTGAATATATTGAGTATTTGTGGATGGATTTTATTTTGTACATAGTTATCTCTTTTTAATCAATGACTCTCGTATAGCCTGAACATTTCGACTTTTTCGTAGTGAGAATTACTACGGACCAGTTCCAGAATAAAGTGCATTTAATTAGATCATTTTGTTCTTCTTGGTGATATGTGTAGCTATATGTAATATATTATTTCATTTACAGTGTAATTTTGTTTGGGTTTTTTTTTCTTAACCGATGTTTGAAATCAACAAAAGATCGACAGAGTTAACAAATCTTGGATATTTGCTAAGAGTTATCATTCTTTGCAAGTAAGTTCTAATGACATGACTATAAAGTCCTTTGTTAGTCTTTGGTGCGAACATAAATTATAATTATCTGAGCTGGTAGATCTTCCTGTAAGTCCTTGGTATAGATAAATAAAAATTGGTAGAGTCTTTTGAATGGATGAAGTCACCAGTAAGATAGAACTGAGTGACTTAGTCTGTTGTGAGCCTTTGGTATAAATATTTATAGTAAGCCTTCAGAGAGGGTGGAGCCTCCTGTAAACCTTCATTATAAATGTTGTTGGTCCTATGGATATTGTGAACCTTTGATACATATACCGTCTGAGTGGTTATATAGAGATTATTGTGAGACTTTGGTATTAATATACAGAGTAAGTATTCTGAATAAAATATGTAGTAACCCCCTATGAAGGCCGTGTCTACTGAGAGCCTTTGGTATACGTATATAGAGTAAAATCTACAAAGTGGGTGGAGACTACCATAAACCTTTGGTATAACCATGTAGAGTAAAGCTAGGATAAGCCTTCCAAGAGGGTGGGGTTTCCTATAAGCCTTTGGTATAAATATATGGAGAAAGCCTTCCAAGTGGGTGGAGATTAGAGTGAGCTTTTGGTATAAATGTATAGAAAAAGCCTTTTATCTAATTAGCATAATTGGTAAAAATATATAGTAAATTGGGTGGGTCTTATTATAGTACTAAAATTGTGTTGTAGAGCACCATATATACCACTGCTTTACAAAAGAGTAATCAGGTGATACAGTAAGATACAAGCAGTTGATAACTGCATAAACAATCGGTTCTTTTATATAAAATGCTGCTTAACGTTAATGATTTTCAGCAAGAAACGTATTTTATAAGTAAATAGAAACATTTAAAGCATAGCTTGCGGGGAAAAATCGGACAAAAAAGACACCTCAACATGGCAAATTTATAAAGGAATGATACACATTTATGTCATTTTGAGTTATCTCTCTAATTAGAGTATCAATGAACCTTAAACAGTAAAGCAACAAAAGGGCTTTGATCTATTTATCAAATTGTGAGGTTGTATATTATTAGTTACACAGTCAGTTAGTGGCCTAATACGGATTCATACAGGTGTGAAATGGAAATCCGTATTGGGCGAGGCGAAGTCTATTTCATTTTCCAGTTCTTCGGAGAAAAAATTCGAAGAACCATCCACTTTTCTAAACTTGTGACATGATAGTAAATCTTTTTCAAAGAAAAAATATGTCTGTATCATCTGTCCTTAAAGCTATACGAGGGTTGTCCCAAAAAGTCATAGACAGGTAAAACAGTTTTGTTTCTCTTTGCTTTATTAAATTTCTTTCCTTGTCATAGCAAAGAGTAACATTTTATGATCATGCATTTCAAGTTTCATGATGATATCACATCTTATAAGAAAATTGTGAAAAAATAAAGAAAGAATATAAGTGTACACCGGCGCACAAAAGCAAGTGTAAATTACGTCTCTTATAACGTCATGATCTCTTTGTCTGCTTCACTAGCGGTTATTAACATTCAATAATTTTTTTTAAGTGATAGACCACTTTTAATTAACGGACATATTTAAGTTCACTACTGTCCGTTTGTTTTCTTAACCTGTTTTTTAAAGCAGATTCAAATTTCAGTTGAAATTTAGTCGAAAGATCGCCTTACATTGTAGGCAGCAGAGAATACAAATTGTTTGACGTGACGTGGCGGTCCAGATTTTTCCAAATTGTCTGCGTTTATCAAACAACACTCTACTTCTTACTTGCCGTAATTAACTATTTTAGGTACAGAAAAAAACTCAGTGAATATCGTGCAATTTGAAAATAACTTCTTTATTAAAATCTGGTGTGTAATATCACTTCTGTAGTGTTTTTTCCCTTTCCGATGTATATTGACCATATCCAACACAATTTATTGCATCTCCGTGCGCCGACTACGCGTTTGACGACGTCATTTTCATCAAACTCAATTTCAACGATACTATGAAAATCATGACACCAATCGTCTGTTTCTAATGATATTTATATGAAATTTTAACATATTATCTATATTTTTATTCTGGTTTCAGTGATGTAAATTTGAGTTCAATGTATTATACAGTACTAAAGAAATAAAAGCAAATGTAATAGTTATATGCGTAAATTATTCGGAATTTTGTCCGTGCGCCGACTTGCATTATCGGCCTTCATATAAATCGTCTTAATATTATTAATATGAAAGATATGTATTTAAAAATTCACAATTTTTAAGAGCATTGACTATATTATGTCTCTGCAAAATTTGGTAAATATTGGTTGCATGATTAAAAAATTATAAAGATTGTCTACGACTTTTTGAGACAACCCTCGTATATGCCGTATTGGTGTTTTATTTTAAAAGTAATAAATATATGTGGTGTCTCATCAAGTTATATAAGTTATATACTTTCTGCAAATAAGACAATTCCACTCCATCACTTTTAAAAGTTATGAAATATTATTTGGTAAAAATTATTTTCTCTTCGTGTCGGATAAAAAACCGCCTCTTATTGAAATATTCATGATCACGTTGTCTCGCATGTTTACAGCAAACAATGGTCCAATCTCGTGAATGAACCGAAAAGCATGATGGTCTACTATGTTTTTACTACAAACACGTGAGTTAGGGATTGTCAATATTGAGAGCACCTCAGAGTTGGTTGTTTTTTGTACCGAGGAATAATCATGTGCAATTGTCTTTACAATGGACATTTTCGGTTGGGTGAACTTCTAAAGCTGTCAGCGACTATGGATAAAGAAGTGTGGAAACTATGTTGTGCCAAAATGAAATAACCAATACAAACAAATGATATAATTTGATCAATCAAAATGGTTATTAGATACATTCGATTCTGCATTTCTTAATGGTTCAAAACAACAAAAAGTATTCCACAGAATATCATATATTAATCTGCACGTCAATATACCGAATGCCAAAACCAGAATACTACTAGATAATATAATTATATTCTTTACATGTGAACCACAGTATTTCTGACCCCTTGAAAAAAATATAAAAAAATCTTGCAAGTAGGTTATTAGCATTGGCTCTGGCTAATTCGAAAGTGAAATTTGGAGTTTGGCAGTAAATTGTAGTGAATGAATAAAATTTAGTAGTGAAAGATATTGGAACCTATTTTACTTGTCAGATTTCTTCGAACTAGTTGATTTTTATTCTAACTGTTCTATTCCCCCACCCAATTAAAAAAAACGATGCTTCCTACCTGAATTAATTTTTCTTAATGGTGTTCATCAAAATGCTTGGTCGTGCTCTCAAACTGGGAAAGTTTTAAGAGGCCTGGAATTCCTTGACCAATTTTATTTTATTTGCCCAACTATATTTCTAAAAAGTCAAGATGTATGTTATGTAAGTTTCATCTACATATGTTATGTAGTTCATACTAAAAAACGAAAAGAGATAATTGACGATATCCCATTCAGGGTGTAAACATAACAGTTTAAATTACTTTCCATACATTGTATTTGACATAAAATATCTTTTGCGCATAATATGCGCTCCATACTGAAGATCGGTAAATGTTCACCCAACCGAAAATGTCCACTAGCAGTACAGCACTGGGGAAACTCTAAACAAACGGATCTGTACAATGGAGTGGGGAAAACTTTAATTTTCATCATTGTTAATCATTTGTATGCAAATATGAGCATTTCATAGTAGATAATAATGTACATAATGCATCAAGTCTTTCTGAGAGCGATTTAAAAAACTAGCCTTTTTGAAAAACACATGTAGTATTTTATGTAGTAACACATAAATGCATTAAATGCAACTCATTGAGCTGATTGGTCTATTTGTGTCCCTCACTGAACAGACGTCACAAAAAATATTTTCCTCGACCTGATGATTCTCGCGATGCTTTTCCCGCGCACATGCGCAGATCCAGGATAAACGTCAGTCCTTTATAAATATGCATGAGAATATCATGTTCTTTTCCTGACTAGTACTTTGTTAATACCGAATGCTTCATTTTTGGTAGCTTATTATACTCCAGAAATTTTTGTTCGGTTTCAGCTGTGCAAAAATACTGTTTAACACGGCATACATATCTTTAAGTTCTGTAAGAATTCTTGAAACCCTTCGTACACTTACCCTTTTGATAATTAAGTTCTCTGTCAAATTCCTTGCACAGTACAATGAGACAAAATGTTAATGTCCCCTTTACATAACGGATATACGGATGCCTTTTGATAACATCAGAAACAAGTGAAACATTTCCGTCTGACCACTAATCATTCGGTCTTCCTGCCCTCTGCCTGCACGTTTGTCTGTTTTAACCATAATGACATAGATATGACATCTCTTCTAATGATTAAATGCATTCCCATTGTATATCAGGTTCAATTTAATTTCACGGTCTATTTTTACAGAATAGTTAAGCGTTCTTGAAATCTATGCTTCTATAGCTATTATAGATATATCTATAGATGTACATGATGTATTTGATCATGATCCAAGTGGTTTTTTAAATATATTACATATGAACCCTAAATATATTAGTTCGTCTTGAAAGTTCAAGTAATGAAGTTTATAATCAATATCTCAATCCATGGTCCCTAGTCCACTTTTTGCCTCTAGAATAGAGGTTGATCGTAGTCTTACATTTAGTCCGTAGTTAGATAGTTTTGCACTAGAAAAGGCGAAGTGTGTGTCTCCTGAGCAACTTTTAAGAATATATGTATTTTATTGTAGATAAGTAAAAATAAGGTGTTTCCCCCAAAAAATTCAGTGAAATTTCTTTGCATATGCC